GTTCTTTATCTTGAGTCTCATCCTCGTTACGGTTTGCCACTTCTTTACACATCAAATGGTTTCTAATGAATCTGTTTTCTTCTTACAGTAAACTCATCTGGCAAAACCGCTGTCCCCGTGACCTCTCTGAAACCCGGGGATCAAGTTTTGATCAGATTACAGGGCGGTGCACGCCATACCGGTATAGAGATTCAGGAATTCATTGTCGAGAATTGATCAAAGACTTTCAGGTAACATTGAAACATATCAAATATAATGTGTCTGTTTATTTGTTGATAGTTAATAACATGCAATATGCGAGTTTGAATTTTGGTGGTAATAAATGATGAATCATTAGGATACTAATATACATTTTCATTTCTAGAACTGAGAAACCAAAAATTTATCAATGTAAATGATATGATACATATAAACATTTATATTCTATTTATAAGACTAGCTAGATCGGTTATGACTTGTTCCACATTTTTTTATCATTCAACAAAATAGATCGACCAGAGAAAAATTTAAGTGAACAGCCATAAATCTCTCTGTATTGTGTTGGTTTTTTTTGTTCTTGTAACCTTTTTTTGTAACTATTTTTAGGATACTTGAAAATGTATATATACCCTTCAAAGACCTCAATCCAAAGACGCACTTCCTTCATTTTCCTTTCTAGTTTTATATTTCAAGTTTTTTTTTTTTAACCTTGCCATCAATACAACCATGGCAAGGATCTCTCTGTTGTTCTCTTTAGCCTTAGTTCTAGCCATCGGGTCTGTCTTGGCTCACCCACCTACCGACAAGAAAATACAAAAGACCTTGTGTCCATCTACTTTGGCCAAAGTCCAAGCCTTCCCTTACACTGAAATCTCTAACTTCGTCCAGAAGAAGGTTCAATTCGCACCAAAAACCATTGCATTCAAGACTTTGTTCGCCGTCTGCAAGGGCTACACCGAATTTCTTGGGGCCTTTAAGTTTTCTGGCTCCAAAGATGTGTTTCACGTCGTTCATGTCAAATTCGCTTTGATGACCAGGGCGATGGTTGCTGCACAAGCACATATTGGTGTTGAAGGAGACCTTGCTGTTAAGTTGGGAAAAAGCTACACCGTGATGGCTGAAAGGTTTGTTAAGCTTGTGGAGAAGATGGCTGCGGTCTCGGCAAAGTATAAGTTCAATGCTAATGCTGAGATAAGCGTGAGTGAGAGGGCTGAGATTGAAAAATGTGTGAGTAAGTTGAAGAGTGCCATTAGGTCTTACGTGAAGGTGATCTCTCAGTGCAGCACGAAATTCTCTGCTGGGAAGAATATTGGTTTTCCCACTTACCCCGGCGGTTTCCTCGGAGGTATAGCTAAACAAGGTCTCGGATATGCCGATAAATTGGTTGGAGCTCACGGCCAAGTTGGAGCCGGAGTTGAAATCGGAGCTAAAGCTAAGGTTGGAGCTCATGCCAAAGGCAAGGTTGGAGTTGAAAGTGAAGTTAAAGTCGGAGGTAAAACCGGAGGATTCTTGAAGTACGGACCAATAGTTCAACCCAAAGGCAAGGTTGGAGTTCAAAGTGAAGCTAAAGTCGGAGGTAACGGAGGATATTATGATGGATTCATGAAGTACATGGGAAAAGGTCAGTTCGATGCCGCGGGTAGGGCTAAGGTTGGAGCTCATGTCAAAGGCAAGGTTGGAGCTCAAGGTGAAGCTAAAGTCGGAGGTAATAACGGAGGATATTGGGAAGGATTCCAGAAGTACTTAGGAAAAGGTCAGTTCGATGCCGCGGGTAAGGCGCATGTCGGTGGAGGAAGCGGATTCAGGCCATTGAGCAACCCTCACAAGAAGCACTTAGATTGAACAAAGGGCACAAGTTTATACAACAGATGAAGGAGTCATGAGTTCATCTCTTATTTTTATTTTTAATATTATATGAAGGAGGGAAACGCCATGCGATATTAATCTCTATTTGTAACCATTTTAAAAAAAATCGATATTTGTAACTCATTAATATAATATCGCATGTTTTCTTAATTACTACTCTCGTTAGTGTTTTTATTAGAACTAAATCGCTCTAGCATAAGTTAAAAAATGTTAAATTGAAATATGCTTGAGTGGTAGTAGCAATGAAGTGCAAAAACAAATATCTAAATTGGGTTCGTCAAATACAGATTTAAGATATTTGGTCATTGTCTGTATTTTACTAAAATTCGGATTGTTTTGTGTTACCAATCAAGACCAATTAACCAAAGATATAGATTAGTGGCAGACAATAGGTCCACTAAAAGTTGATGCCATATCATCTCATGTTCTTACTCCATATGACATATATGCAAATTAAAACCAAACAAAAAAACGAAAAAACACAATGACATATGCAATGACGACAAGTACATCACATGATGAATGTCACGTATCACATAGATATCTCTCAAATTTTTAATGCTCTAAGAGCATCCACAATGGGACTTCTCATATAGGGGTTCTACAAATTTTATGAATAAAAAATAAATCAAAATAGGCTATTTATTGAAGAATGGAGTCTGTATTAAGAGCCTAAAGAGCCCTATTTTTTTTTTCCCTCACAGCTAAAGAGCCCCATAAAAGTTGGTGTCTTGTCATTTTTCAAAGGAATTATTGCATAAAAAGGCACTTACCTCAACTTATTTGTGCCTTTAGGCACTTTCAAGGGAGAAGGCACTCTCACATTGCCAAATCTCCATTATACCCTCCAATCCGGTTCTACAGCCGGTTCTGTTTCTCTTCCTACAAACCGAACCTGGTTTGCCTCTGTCTCTATCCTCCCCACTTGTTACGGTTTCCCCCCTACTGTAAAAAACCCTAATTTCTTCTTCCAACTTCTTTACCGTTTCTTCATTCTCCCGTTTAAAGCTCAAATCTGACCCGCCATTTCCTTGGTCAACTCACCCCCGTCGCACGGTTTCCCTACTTCATCGCTTTCGTAGTGCTGTACATCATTGTCTTCGAAGTGTTTACATTATCAGAAACTCCACGCATCTCCCTAATGGAAGGTAATTATTGAACCCAATGCTCATGTTCTCATAACTAATTTATGCAATTAACCAGTTCAAAAACCAACTGCAGCCTCGACTTCAAAGCAACATTCTTCAGAATGGGATTCAAATCTTCCTAATCGACTTTTCGCCACTGATCGTTATTCCAAAGCGAGGCTAAATGTCTATTGTAAACCCGACATTCTTTCGTTTATCCGGTCTATTTTCCATGGGACACCGGAATTCGACACTATTCTGCAATCTTGCTTCGGTCCTCTCTTCGACTTGCCGGTAAGTCGAAGCCCTAGTTCTTGCAAGCTGATACATTCTTTGCTATGTAGGCAATTGATAACCAAACAGAAGTATGAATTATGGACTGTGTTTGGTGGACAACCCCTGAGATTTTCCCTAATTGAATTTTGTGCTTTAACTGGTTTGCCCTGCGGTGAATTTCTAGAGGACTATGATCCAGAAAGTGAGCCATCTTATGTTGAAGGGCAGGATTGTTACTGGAACGAGTTAATAGGGAAAGATAAGGACGCAGCCTTAGATGATGTATCTGAAATGCTCCTCAACCCCAAAAAACCCTTGTCTCCTGAACACAGAGTTAAGCTTGCGTATCTCCTCATTGTTGATGGTGTCCTCATATCCTCAAACCAAACTGGGAGGCCCACATTTAAATATGTTGAGATGTTGGCAGATATTGAAGCGTTCCTTGCCTTCCCTTGGGGTAGAGAGTCATTTATGAAGACAATAGCATCCATGAGACCCGGGAAACGTATTCTACCATCAGGCACTGGGAAAAAATTGGTGTCAACTGATCCTGTGAAGAATTTCGCCAAACAACTTCAGCAGATCACATTCCGTCTGAAAGGTTTTCCGCTTGCGTTGCAACTCCTAGCATTTCGAAACATTCCTGGCATGGTTGATTTGGTCACTGATGATTCCACCTCATTGACTATCCAACACTGGAATAAAGTCTCTCTGCCAAAACAATTAATTTCTCTTTCTCAAATACACGCTCTTGAGCACCACCTGAAGGTATAAGTTTCCAACCTTGGTATCTTCATCTTTACATACCCTCTTTGTTACTCAATTTACCCTTCTGTTTGGTCAGGACAAAGTGGATCCTTATATTCTTCTTGGCCAAAATGTTGACAAATCTTGGGGGGAGTGGGATGATGAGGTGAAAGACAAGAAAGTAGCTTATATGTTGGAACTGATACTCAGATCAAATAAATTCAATAAATCTGAATGGCCAGGAGGTGATGACTCATTACCATTCATTTCTATCCCAAAAGAGAAAGTCGCAGTTGTTCATAAAAGGCACATTGTCGAGCGTAAAGAGAAACCAGGGCAGAAGAATTCTAACACGCGACTACGTGTGAAGTCTCAGTCTCCAAAATCAAAGCATCGCTATGCTACCCGTAGCCGGTCTTCTCTAACTCTATGTGATGATGAGAAGTCTTCTTTAATGGTGGAACTGAAAAACCAAGTGGCAGAGCTATCAAAGCGTGTATTGAAGCTAGAAAAAAGAAATAAGGCAATCATATTCAAGCGCTCTAGGAAACTCTCTTCTAGATGTGGTGAATATGCCTCTAGATCCAGGCGCATGACGCAAGCTAAAGTTCGTGTTAAATCTCAGACCACTCCGGATGATATGTCCAATGAGGTATATATCTTACCCTTCCTTCAGTGACACTGTTTGCCCCTCACCTTATGGAAACAACTTCTATTTCTTACCAGAATGATCGTTCAAGCAATGAATTTTTATCAAACCCACACATACATGAAGGCTTTCTTATGGAGGTTTATAGCTTCTACCACTCACATAGCTATGACTATAACTATAATATTAATATAAAAAGTGGTTTAACATTACAGGATCACTGCGCAACCAAAGTCAATGCTGACAATTTCGGATCACAATCAGACAATTATTTGCCTATGGCAAACAATAATGAAGGCTACACCAATCAGTCAGAATATAACTCCGGGTTCAAGCAAACTAACACTGATTTGGATATGGAGGTATGTCTGTTATATCTTTTTTGTTTCCTACTTATTGTGTAACAATATCTATATAATATTAAACATTTTTTTCCTTTCTAAACAACCACAATCCAACAAGAATTTCAATATATCGGATGTCGCACCTCAATCTCCTGGAGATATATTGGTTGGTGATGGTGTTCAGCACAACTGGAAACAATACCGGGAGGTATTTGGGTATCCTGGCCAGTTGGGCATCCATGATGTGGTTGATGGTTTTGTCGAGGACTCCATTGAAAGAACGACATTTAAAACCCCGGTATGTGTTCTGGTTTATTGCTACTCTTTAAAATTACCCTTTAATTAATCATTGCTTCACATATGACAATCAGGTGCTTGGTGCTGACCCCATGGATGTCTTGATTACCCCACTCCCATCAGAAGAGCCTAATAAGCCTGATACACATCAAGGAAATCCCATTTATGACACTGCCAACAAAGATTCCCTTGGTTTTAATACCCCTTCTGCTCTCGAGGGTAACGAATACAATCCATCTTGCTCCAAGGTATAATTGCACACATATACATGTGTGGCTAGTATTAAACGCGACCATTCCAGTTTTTTTTTTCTCTTGTTTAACAGTTCAACCTAACTATTCTTACAGGTTAAGCACATTGATTATGATCCCAGTTTCGATAAAAGTGACAACCTAACTGCCATCAAATCTCCAATGGCTGCTGACATTATTCAATCTCCTACAACGAAGCTTCAAAAACAATTTGAGGTACTACAACCTAACTGCCATCAAATCTTCTCATACATTGCTTTCTAAATTAGGACTACAAGCCCGAGAATTTGTGCAACCGAACATAGTTGATATGTGTATTCTAAGCATTATCTTTAAATTTCAACTCCAAGGATGAATTCTATAGATTATATGCACCTCTGTCTGTGGTATATACCTCCAGACAACCCAAAGCTGCATATAACCCTCTTAAGGTCTACCTTCAAACAATATATCATAGTTACCATCTGTTTCTTGATATGATGGACAGGAATATTTGGTCACTTTTATAAACTATATAATTTTTTCACTACCATAATGTCGAAAAAAATCTCGTACCATTTTTTAAATTATATCAGGAAACATTGGCTACTGTCCATGTGTCTGAATATGTTATAGATACACCTGTTGAACCAATGGATGAAGATAATCCACTGAAGGTCCCGTATTTTATTTCATTATTCCTTTTTGCAGTCCCATTGGTCTTTTGTGTGTTTCTAAAACTGCTCTTTATAATATAATATATACCAGTATAATATTGATAGTTATTTGATTTATTTGTTGTTTGCAGCCTTTGGTATTTGCTGAAGATGTCCCAATAAAGGTATACCTTCAAAAACAGATAGTAGTTTCCGAGTGTGTCTTGTTATAATGGTCAGGAATTAATGGATACTTGTTTTGACTTATCTATTTGACCATTTTCCTTTTGCTAATACACTCAGGAAACATTGGTTAGTGTTATTGCATCTCAGGAAATTATTGATACACCTATGCAACCAATCTCTGAAGATAATCCACTGCAGGTCTTCTCTTCTCTTAAACTTTGCCAGTATTGTATGACGTGTATTTAAAGTTTTTTGTATACCAATTCCCAAATTCTTATGTGTATTTCTACTTATACTCACAGGACCACGTAAAGATTGTTCATACCCCTGATACAGTAATTTCTCAAGCAAATTTGAATATGGTCTACCTTAAAACTTCTCATACCCTTATTATAGAGGTCGCCGTATAAATGCCTTCTTGATTTATATTATTTCTGTTTGTAGGCATTGGTATTGGTGGGGGATCCTATTTTTGATACCACATCCAAATCAGAGATAAGCAACCAATCATCCCCAACTGAGGTATGGACATATTATCTCTGCCTATGAACTATTTCAGTCATTCTTTACTTCTTACCATTTAATCCCATTAACTTTACAATGTTTTCCATATTGGTGCAGGGTAAAATCTTCTTAAGGGAAAACATTGATGGACAAAACATTGTGGATAATCAGGTTTACTTATAATTTTATCCTTTTATAAATAGAACAAGTTTATATTGATATTGACTTTTAAAATTCAATTTCTCCTTTATCTGCAGGACAAAGAAGATTCCATTGTTAGTCTTTCATATGTACTTTCTATTTTGTTTCCTCCTAATTTGGTCTTTTTAATCTAACAGTATTATGATTGCTTATTTTATTTTATCTTCCAGGATAATAACTCGCAACTGTCTAACACATCAGACCCTATAGAAGAGGATTTAGTTGATGTTTCAGATTCATCACCAGCACAAGCGAGAGAAAAACCTATTCTTTCGGAACCTGAGTCTATTCTTGTAGCTGAGTTTTTATCAAAACCAAAAATGGAGGCATACCAACTTTTACCACTCCTAAAAAAGACAGATTATGCCCATTTTTTGGATACCCTTTCATCAGCTCCTAATACGTAAGCATACACTGTAATTTTTTTCTTCAATCCTCACATGTGGTCATTAAGGCACCTAAACTATCCTTGTTACTCCTCTCAGGGAACATGTTACGGATTCTGGATTCCTATTTCCCAACTCATTCCTCCTCAAGCTTGCAAAACCTCAAAATTGGGTTTCAACTCTGGTAACTATATTTTATTTTCAACTCATAGTTCTGTATTTAGCCAGTACTCAGAGATAATAATATATTAGCCTTTCTTTCCACAGCACATGGAGGTTTTAGTGGAGTTACTTTCTAGTAGGCTTGCAACAAGACTTGCCACACAGCGTGCTGCTTTTGTTGAACCATGGTTTGCTAACCATTTACAAGGAAAATACAAATCTTTCAAAGCAGCAAAAATCAAATCTCGCGTCCGCTGGTCCGATCCCATGAAATGCTTTATTGTTGGCCCCACCACCGAGTGGTTCACAGACATTGATACCATTTACGTACCTATGATCTGGAATTCTTCCCACTGGGTAGGCCTTTCAATCAATCTAGGAGTCTGGGAAGTTGAAATTCTCGACCCAAATACTGACCTCAATTCGGAGGAAAAAGTTAAAGAATTTATCGAGCCTGTTGTTACCCTTTTGCCACACCTCATCCAGAGGTACTGTAAGCCCGCATGTTCCCAGAACCATGGACTAAAACCTTTCCTGTGGAGGCGAATACATGGTGTATACAAGAATGTTAGATCTGGTGACTGTGGCCCGGTTGCTATGAAATTTCTTGAGATAATGGCAAGCGATAAACTCCCAGATCAAATGGAGAAAATCACTGACAAACACGTTGACTCTTTCAGGCGTCAATATGCAATGGATATTTATGAGCATCTTGTCTGTCCTGTTTATGCATCTGACTTTGCTGCCTAGTGTCTACATGTTTCCCAAGTTTCTGTTTGTAATCGTAACCATCATTTCCCTTCTTTCCTACTATATTCCTGTGGATACTGGCGCCTACTCTGTTTTTCTTTATTATGTACTCTGTACCCAAACTATTATTTTCTCTGTAATCGTAACCATCATTTCCCTTCTTTCCTACTATATTCCTGTGGATACTGGCGCCTACTCTGTTTTTCTGTTTTTCTTTATTATGTACTCTGTACCCAAACTATTATTTTCTCTGTAATCGTAACCATCATTTCCCTTCTTTCCTACTATATTCCTGTGGATACTGGCGCCTACTCTGTTTTTCCTTTCTTTATTATGTACTCTGTACCCAAACTATTATTTTCTCTGAAATTCATTTTGTCTACATCCTATCTTTCCATCCATATTAATTCATCCATTGTTACAGTCGTTTTAGGACTCTATTGTCACATTATTCTTATCTATTATCCTTCACATGAACTGAGTCTTAACAAATCGGAATACTTGAGTCGGATGAAACATAATGGAAACATAATTCATAGAATAAGTAGTCCCACACATACATTACATTTCATACTTAAATCTACTAACTCTACTCTCAACTGAATAATACATAGAATCCGAAAGCCATGATTAAACCACCAAAGATAAATACTTTGTTCTTCACACAAATATCTTCTCTATCTTTCCCACATAGCAACAGTCCACACTTAAGACCTTCAATCTCTTTCTGTGTTTGTTCCTTAAAATCTTCAAATTCTTTGAATTTCTTCTCTATCACTTCCAAGTCTTCTTCCAGAGTCTTAACCACCCTTTTAACACTTTCCATCTCTTCAACCATGGATATGTCGGTCCACTTAAACAAATGATTCTTACTCTATATTTGGCAAAACAAAATTTTAATCAAATGTTAACAAATAAATCAGATTTTCCTATTGATGTTGCTTATCTGCTTACCTCCTCCGATCCGTAAGGACAACAATGAAAGAGTCTACCAGGATTTTTCGGGGTCTTTGAAGTCTTCATCACAGATAATTGGCCACATGTACATTGCCGAGGGATTCCACTCACGGTGTGAGAGGACAGGTTGCTCACTCCTACACCAGATCAAAAAGATATCATCATTTATCTCGATAATAGCTTTTTCCAAATTTTTTACCATTTAAATTATAGATTACTCACCTCCACTTTCGCATGACGACATCGTGTTTCCTACTCCGGAATATCAGAATCTATATATGGAAAAAATCTCGAAAAGAAAAGCTCCGGATTATCGTGTTTGGGGGAGGTTTGATTATATGCGACGCCGTTTAAATATAAATATTTTTAAACGTGGATTTTTAGTATTGGACACCTTAACTCATTCCATTCACAATATGTTATGTGATATGGATACTTATTTTTGGACATCTCTACGACTTTGAAAAAGACAAACTTTTTTAATAAATTATGTTGTTTGTATAATTATAAACAAAATGGTTTCTTGATTATGTGTACTTGTTAATTATCCCAATAACTAATCTAAAACCCAATCCATTACTAAAGAAGAGTTAACAGTGAAAAGTTTAAATCATTATGGGGGGAAATTTCCCGCACAAATTTTAGATGGGCAGATTTAACATATGAGTTGACCTAATTAGCTAGATTGTTAATAAGGTGTCCAAGTCTATATAGCCAAAGTATATTGTCCATCTGGATCAACTCGATAGGGTTTTCAGTTCACAAAACACAGTCACTTTTAACAGGGGGTCACTATAACATATCACTCCAATAATTAAGGGTAAATTATGTACTAATATCTAAAAATAAATCTAGTAATCCATCCATGTCCATTGAATATTTAGTAAGTTAGAGACTTGAATCATAGGAAAAATAACAAATTATTTAAATTTTATACTTATATAATAATTAGTATTTATGAATCATAACTAATTTTACATAAAATTTAGAAAGTTATTTTAATTTTATCTAATAATACAGATAGTAAGCCATCCATAACCTTTTCTATTGGTTATGTTAGAAAAGGTAATTGTAGAGAAATAACATATTTATCCTGAAAACCATCTTATTTTGGCTATATAAAGTTGGACACTTGTAAACCTAACTATGAGGGAAGAAGAGACAATCTGTCTTATCACCCCATTTAACTTTTAAGCGGGAAATTTCCCCCCTAAGGGATTACAACTGTTGGACACTTATGTCTTCTTTATTAAGGGATGGGATTGGCTTTTTCATACAATAAACAACTACAAATATAAAAGTCAAATATCATTGACATTATAACCATGATGAACCAGAGGCAACTCGACTCAGTTCGACCCACAAAGGTTTCTCCGGCTGTAAGAGTTTTCTATCCCTGACCCGATATGACATTAATTTAAATAAACAATCGGTATAACTAGTTTTATTTACTTTTGTTCTTTAGGTATCAACGTCGGCGGAATTTCACATTCCGGCACCATTGCTTGCAAAAATTGTTAGCTACGTAGCTAGAGATGGCGTCGATGCTTTGAAGAACTGGGTGAAAGCGGGTCCGGAAGGAAAAGCGGCTGTATACTCGAAGGAAACTCTTAGTTGTGTCAGGCTTGACAGATCTAAGTATTTCATGTGGTGGTCGATGCCCCACTCCATTTACTATCCATTCTTCAAAAAATGTCTTGAAGAAGATAATCCATTTGCTGTGACTGCTATCCTGCATAAAAGTTTAGCATATGGAAATCTGGTGGAAGAATGTTATAGGCCAGGGTTATGGGCGGAGCCTTTTGGTGAGGACGGCGGATGGGTAAGGATTGACGGACCGTACTGGATCAACCCTCGCTGGATACAGGGGATTGGAAGACCTAGGTGCACCCACTGCAAAAGAGCATCGCACAATGGCAACAGTTGCCCTACTATGTAGAGAGATAATGATTGAATCGTAGTATTTAAATATGGATAGGCTATCTTGTTTTGAATGTAAGAATTTGGTAATAGATATTAGCCTTTTGGGGTATAATTGATGACCATGTTTGGCTGTCCAAAATTTAATAATTGATTGAGATGAAAATGGTGATAGATTATTATTTTGGTTCAATGCTATGTTTATCTACATTTATCTAAATATCCAATATAAAAGTACGTTCTGGTTGGTTAAGATTGGACACCTAATTTACAACAACTGAAACAACATAATGGTAAAGATATATTTTCAAGAAAACAAAATATGTAGAGATATATAAAGCGATGAAAAAATGGGGTTAAAACATGTAATATTTAATAAGATAATTGGATTGTAGACAAAATCATGGGGAAAAAAAAATGAATGAGAAACGTAGATATAACATATATGTAGGGGGTGAATGGTAATATGTTTTAGGAACCAAAAAAAAAAAAACCAATCAGGGTATAGGGTTAAGATTTTGTTCCTTGGGTTAACAAAGTATAGTATAGGGTATAGGTATCTATATTAAAACATGATTTAATATAAAGTAGTAGTAGTTAGGGATTGTATAATTTGGTTTTAGGGTATAGATTTTGTTGCTTGGGTTAACAAAGTATGGTCTAGGGTATAGTTATCTATATTAAAACATGATTTAATATAAAGTAGTAGTAGTTAGGGATTGTATAATTTGGTTTTAAGGTATAGATTTTGTTGCTTGGGTTAACAAAGTATGGTCTAGGGTATAGTTATCTATATTAAAACATGAATTAATAATAATAATTTAAACTTACATAATCATTAAAAAGGCCACATAATAAACAAAGGTTTATCAAAAACTTAATACATAACTACATATAAGGGAGATAGAATAAGGGTTAGATATTACATCAGAGTACATCCTTACAAAAGGTTTAACAAAAACATTCACCAATCATCATAAGAGAGACATGAATATTATTTTTAGCTTTTGGATAAGTTAATCGACCACCATTTTGATCTCTTCCACTTCTTCAATATCTGGCTCCGAATAAACTTTCGATATAGGCCCATGGCTAACAATCCTCACACTTTCCGGCCTTGCTGCATACCTATCAATCCTCCACCAAGCTAGAGCAAGAATAATATTCGGATGACCAAATCTGCGGTAGCTACTGTCAAAGTCTAGGGCGGTTTGCCCAGTTGCCTCACATCTCAGTACTACATGGCTGAAAATATCAAAAATATAATGTTAACATATATAAACACAAATTAGGTAGGAAATTATGAAATAATTCCTAACGGATATATATATTTATTGTATAATTACTTCCTATCCATGAGTTTGAAAGGAATTCTGTATCCATTGATATCAGCACGATCCGGAGCGTTATTGGTCAGGCTACCAACATAGACGACAGCACCAATTATATCTTAAATACACAAAGATTAATATGATCGGTACAAGCGTTTAAACATATGTGAAGACTAAGTTTAAATTAAAGGGAATTCCAATTACCAATCAATGTATTTGTTGGGACAGTGTCCTCAACAATGTAGTCGAAAGGTGTGAAATTATTAAAGAGGACAGTTTCTCTAGGATCAGCAGATGTGACACAAGTTTCATCGACGAACCATATCCCATAAGTATGAGAGGTCGCTCTAACTTTTTCCGAGTTAGGGCGAACACGGAATGTTGTTATGGTTTTCCACTGATTTTCTTTGATTTTTTCATAGTAAAATTTAGAAAAACTCCGATCGATTATTGCCTCAATTTGGGTGCCCTTTAATAAACAATTGTGAATTGCATGTTAAGTAATTATGATAAATTGAGAGATAAAATTACACATGACACAGTAGATAACTTACCGATGTATCGACCAACACCAAGCGAAGTTGGAACGAGGATTGATTGATCCATTTCTTGTAAACCCTAAGCACCATAACACAGATCGTCCATCCCGTTATCACAGGTGACAACTCGTAAAGACTGTGGTAATGACCCATATCGAATTGCAAAACCTAAATCCCTAGTTCTTCGAGATGGTGGAGACAGAAAGATTTGGTTATTATATATTTTTTTTTTATGTGTAAAGTCTATCTTTGGCGAGAAAAAGGGGTAACTAATATATAATGTAAAAAAATTGGAAGTCTGAAAGCCACGAACATAGTTGGATGTATGTACAGTCTCTAATAGTTTATCCTATATTCAATGAACTCTAAAAGGCAATGAATACGAAAAAGCCAAAAATAAGGATCAATATTGAATGCAATGGTTACTTTTTATTATCAATGAACCGTTGCGTCTATAGATACGAGTTTCGTTGTCCAAGCACAACAGTCCACGACTAACTAGGATTATCAGAAACCAAGCGAACGGTTTATAATTATTAGTGAGTATTATAGAAGTTTAGTTAAAAAAAAGTGTCTATTCAAGGTTTTCATAATATATGAATTTCACATTTACGTTTAATATACTTGGGTTAAGTAAATATGGTCTAGGGTATAGTTATCTTTATGAAAAATTTATAAAATTTCAATATTGTTCGTTTTGGTATTCCTGTGATGTATAAATCGAAATTAATATATTTTCCCTTGGGTTTACTAAATATATTCTAGGGTAAAGTTATCTTTATTGAATTTTTTTTAACATTTCAATACTTGTTTATATTTTAGTATTATTAGTTTTGGTATTCCTATGATGTATATATCGAATTTATTATATTTTCCCTTGGGTTTACTAAATATGGTCTAGGGTATAGTTTTCTATATTGATAAATCTATAAAATTTCAATAATTGTTTATATTTTAGTATTATTAGTTTTCGTATTCCTATGATGTTAAAATCGAAATTATAATATTTTCGCTTGGGTTTACTAAATATGGTCTAGGGTATAGTTTTATTTATTGGTTGTCCAAACAAAACAGTCCATCACCAACTGGGATAATCAGAAACCAAGCGAACGGTTTTCCCTTGGGTTTTCTAAATATGGTCTAGTAGTAGTTAGGTATTGTATAATTTGGTTTTAGGGTTTAGATTTTGTTGCTTGGGTTCTCCAAGTATGGTCTAGGGTATAGTTATCTATATTAAAACATGAATTAATATAAAGTAGTAGTAGTTAGGGATTGTATAATTTGGTTTTAGGGTATACATTTTGTTGCTTGGGTTAACAAAGTATGGTCTAGGGTATAGTTATCTATATTAAAACATGAACTAAATATTTGTAAAATACTAGTACTTAGGGTTAGTTAAATTTGGTTTAGTGTATTTAATATTTATATATATTTACTAATTATAGACTACGGTATAGTTACATATATTGAAACTTGAATCAATAATAAGTTTTTGTTTTTGAATGCATAATTCCTTCCGTTAGATATATAGAAACAATATCTTTTGTCCAAAGATTACAGTCCACGAGCTGCTGGTATATAGAGTCAACTTTTAATTTCAGATATTATTTAGTAATGTTTAGGGTATAGGGAAACAAAACAGTCCATCACCAAGGACAATATTTTGTGCATATAACGAACGGTTTCCCTTGGGTTTCTAAATATGGTCTAGTAGTAGTTAGGTATTGTATAATTTGGTTTGAGGGTTTAGATTTTGTTGCTTGGGTTCTCCAAGTATGGTCTAGGGTATAGTTATCTATATTAAAACATGAATTAATATAAAGTAGTAGTAGTTAGGGATTGTATAATTTGGTTTTAGGGTATACATTTTGTTGCTTGGGTTAACAAAGTATGGTCTAGGGTATAGTTATCTATATTAAAACATGAACTAAATATTTGTAAAATACTAGTACTTAGGGTTAGTTAAATTTGGTTTAGTGTATTTAATATTTATATATATTTACTAATTATAGACTACGGTATAGTTACATATATTGAAACTTGAATCAATAATAAGTTTTTGTTTTTGAATGCATAATTCCTTCCGTTAGATATATAGAAACAATATCTTTTGTCCAAAGATTACAGTCCACGAGCTGCTGGTATATAGAGTCAACTTTTAATTTCAGATATTATTTAGTAATGTTTAGGGTATAGGGTTAAGAATTTGTTGCTTGGAATTTGGACAATATTTTGTGCATATAAAATATTAATTAACACACAATCAATTTGTATTATTCACAATTCCACCGCGATTTCCTCCACTGTGGCCACCATCTAGGGAAATGATAGGGTTTCTTCGCCCTTATTAATCCTCGATTTTCATACATCATCAGTGAAGGATCTTATATATTATGCCTAAAATCGTCTGCGAGAAGGGCAAATGTAAGCACCCAAAGCCAATGGCCACTACGCGACATTACTGGCGACCACGAAGTGCCCTTGCCCCTGTAAGGGGAAATCAATTTGCAGTCCATCCGCCTCGCCCACCATTGGTACAATTCCAGCTTCAGGTATGGATTTCAAAATAAATACCATTACTTGTAATTCTTTCTTAGTTTTTGAATGTAAAGCCGAGTTTTGCTCCTATAAGGCGCCTCCGTTCCCTCAATTCCACATCCCAGTCCACGTTCTAGCGAAAATCGTCGCCTACATTTCTGAAGATGGGGTAGATCTGTTGAAGGCATGGATTCAAACCGAACCAGATGGTACAGCCGCCGTTATGTCCCAGGAAACGCTATCTTCGGTTCGATTAGATAAATCACCTGAATTCATTCAAATGGCCCAACAATCGTCTGCATATCACGGTTTTTACACCAAATGCCTGGAATTCAATAATCCATATGCCTTATATGTTCATAGTCTGGTACTGGGATTTCGTTTTTGTGACCTTAACGGAGCAATTGCAGTTTTGGATGGAATAAAAAACGTTTTTCCACATGCTGGCCTACTTTTCATAATGCTCCATAGCTGCCAGGGAACAGTTCCGTGGGAATTTTATATCAGTTACAAGAGAAGTTACTACAAATTCAGTGAAGTCGACTTATTCGCGGATAAGCTTATGTACCACATTAACTCAGTTGGGCCACGCCGACAAGGCACATACAAAGCATCATGGGAGTTTGAGGATTACGGAGAGTGCTGGTCATACCATCAGTACCTTGATGAGGGCGAGGGTCAATGGTGTAATGCATGTATTTACTACTACCTCTCCCAAGAAATATGTCAAATTTCTTAAATCCTCATGTGCATCTCTTATGTTATTGGTTTATTAATGTTTTATAATTTCCCTTTATTCCTCATCTCCTTATGTATGACTCTGTTTTATATTTTATTCAATGTTGCGAAAC